AAAAAAAAAAGGGGGGGGGGGAATGACAAGGTCAGAGGAGGTGACATGATTGAGAGGCAAGCACTCTTGAAGGCAGTCAAGGATCTGTCTGGGTTTCCAGTCATCAATCACAGGGACAGGGTCTCACTATGACCTCAAGGCTGGGTTACACAGAACCAACAAGACTGTAACAGGGAAACCTGGCTGCTTACACAGGGAAGAGCCTTGCTGACGTGGAGTCATTAGAAACAACAGATTTGCTCACAAGGGTAGAGTGTGGCTTTGACCTTCAACAACACTTAGAGAAGCAGCATTCACAGCAGACTAAGAAAATGCTGTATTCTAATAGGGTCTCATATGTAGTACTTGCAGGCATGGACAGAGCTCTAGAGAGCCACCATCTGCCTCTGCCTAAGTGCTAACATGAAAGGAGTGCACCACCTAAGAAGAACTTTTAAAATTCACCTTTTGCTTTTAGAGCACTGGATAAATCTGACCCTGCATACTGTAATTTATACCATCTGTTGTTTGTTCAAATCTGTACCTATTTCCATTATAACACTTATAAAGATTTGTTTTCATTTGTATTTACTTATGTATGTGTGAGGGTATGAGTGTGTGTGAGCATATGGGTGTGTGTGAGCATGCACATGCCCAGAGTCCAGAAGGGAGCATGAGATCCTTGGAGCCGTAGTGACCTGGGTACTAGCAGCTTCTAAGTCTGAGCTGTCCTCCAGCTGCTACTGTAACAGCAGCCCTGCCATTACTATTCTATTGGTTACACTAACATTTATTGGTTGGTCAATGAAACTAACTTACTAATTTGGAAATAAATGCAATCACATTTGAAGGTTTCTGTTGAGCAGGTATTGGAGGGACAGGTGAGGGAAGTCTGCATAACTTTTTACTAGGAAACTGACTTATTGAGATAAATCTTACACAGCCAGCAAAAGGATGTTGGGAGTAGCAGTATAGGCAGGAACAATATTAGCATTACATGACATATAAAAACCCCTAAAGCTCCAAATTTCTCCTTCTTCAAGAACTGTAAGTTTCAAACTGTATCAAACAAGCACCACCAGGCATTCTCTCCACTGGGTAAGAGGCATCTGATGGGTCACAAAGCTAACATCTTTATGCTTCCTGTCCTCACCTCCGTATCTTTATCAGTCTCCTCCAGTGCTAATTTGTATCATTCTGAATACCAATATCATAACAAACCTGTTCTGCTTACTCAAAAGATTAAAATTTAGTTTATGCTATTAGTCCTAAAGAGTTTAGATGACTTTTCTTAAGTCTAACTCTTATTTCTGATTATTTTTTTCCTCAGCTGAAAAGCCTTGCCCAGAGCCTTACCTTCTCTGAGTTGAGCAGCAGGTGTCCATTTGCTCGAACAGCCACAGGCCACTTGTCACTTCATAGGCACATGTTGCAAGACAGAAAACAAAAAGCAAAACAGTATTAATTCCCCATGATATCCTGAGGTAAATGTGAACAATAAGCAGTTTGTTGAGACAAGACCATGGCATTGCAATTGTAGGTGGCTTTTGCTTTAAAGTTCTAGGGCTCAAAAACAGGGCTTGGCTCATCTCAAAGAAATGCTCCCTGTGCTGTGCTCCAGTTTTCAACAGGAAGCAACTAAAAAGAACCAAAGGACTAGCTCCATGAGTTATAAAGACAGAAATACAGCAACTGTTTGAAACAATAGGCAGGGCTCAGGTATGAACACAGGAAAATATTGAAAATAAGCTATTATGCAAAGAGACAGAAGAATGCAAATACTGTGTTTACCTTTGCATGAATACAAATACATAGCTAATTCCCAGAATATGCATAAACATTTGTTCCAAAAGAAACCAGAAAACAGGTAGGCGTTGGTGGTGCACTTGGGAGGCAAAGGCAGGTAGATCTCTGTAAGTCCAGGCTAGCCTGGTCTACAGAATGAGTTCCAGGATAGCCAGGGCTACAGCAGAGCAAAGTAAGTAAAATGTTGGGTGAGAGGTCATGAGCAGCCTTTTGTCTTTACACTTTTGTAGTATACACTCTCCAACCTGTCTTAAAACTACTGCAATCCTTCACCAAACAGATCACTATCCTTTGATGACCTGAAAATAAGCATAGACTTTGGACTGTTGGTCCAGGAAGTAGACCACATTCCACATTAAGGCATACAACAAATCCATCTAAACCATGCATAGTCATTCCTTAAGATACTTGAAGTCTAAGACACTCTTATTGACCCCACCAGACTTAAGCATTCACCTTTGTTCCGGCCACATGGCTACATGGTTGTAAATGTAATACGAAAGATGATTTGGAATCAGATCTTTGCCAGAGGCTCGAAGGTCCACTGGATACCAGAACTCAAACTCCTGCTTCAGCTGATCCAGCTTTTCTTTTGGAATCTGAGTCTTAGGAAATGGAGCATCCTTGAAGAACACATAATCCCAAACGTCCTTGGTCATCTGCTGGGGTCTGCAATGAAATAAAGAAAACAAATGCACTATTATTTTGAAAGAATCAGAATTTTCACCTAATCATGAATTGAAATTTTAATTACAGTATCAAACAAGAACAAACTGCTCCCCTATGGAACAAGAAGGCATGACAGCACAAGAGGGGCTAATCATCCTTCTCAGTTGCTCAGTAAAAAAGGAGACATAACAAAATACTGTTAGCCAAAAAATAAACAAATAAAAAAAGACAGGATTTCACTATGTAGCCCTGGCTGTCTACTATGTAGACAAAGCTGGCCTTCAAATCACACAGAATGGCCTACCTCTGCCTCCTGAGTGCTGGGATTAAAAGCAAATGCCTCTTTCTAGCCAAATTCTTGAAAAATAAATATGAAAGAATAAATTTCTAAAAATATAAACTAAAATGTCTCAAGATGTGTAACTGAACATGTGCATGATTCTTTAACTATGTACCAACCTGATGCCCAGTGGAGACTCTGCCTGCCCATGCAGGTCATTCCCCTGCAACAGGTGTGCAACTGTGTAAAATGCCATGTAAATAGTGGAATCTGAAAGTGATTCGATCAACCATTGCTCATCCCAAGGCAGACGAGTGCCTGCAACAAAAAAAGGAAAAAAATTTAATATCGAATAAAGCTAAGAGATGCCCACTGGAAGAAGCAACATCTTCAAGGCTACTATCTAGGAAGTTCTGTTGGTGTTCTGTACGTAGGTTATTGCTGTTTTGTTTTGTTTGTGGTGATAGGAATTGAGCCCAGGGCTTTGCATATAGTAAGCAAGCACTCTGCCACTGAGCCACATCCTCAACCCTAAGAGCCCTAAATTCTACACTAATAATTTATAAAGATAAAATGGTGCACAAATGTAAAAATGGGTGAACCTCTTGAGTCCTTTAATAGAAATGTCATGGGGCTAGAGAGAGGATTTGGTAAGTAAGAACACTTGCTGCCCACACATAAAAACCAGAATTTGGATCCCAGCACCATGTAAAATCCGGAATCCCTTAGCCCTGGTACTATGAGGGAGATAGGAAAACTACTGAGGCTTGCTGGCTGCTAGCCTAGCTCCAGAAAGTGATAGACCAGGACACCAGACATACTCCACTGGCCTCTACGCATACACACTCTGCCCATAAATGAGCTTATGACATATACATACACCATATTCACACACACACACACACACACACACACATACACACACACACACAAGTGCATAAGTAACAAACAGATTATACTATAAAAGTCATGTGGGTTAGAGAAGACATATCTAGCATTAGGTAGATTACAGAGAACCAATTTCTCATCCTCAAACCAAAACCTATCACTTCCAAATTAGCAAAAACCAGAACAAAGGGGCAAGGAAGGCAAAAGGCGTTATCTTCTATCTAACAAAATCATCCAAATAGAAGTGGGGAAGTCTGCTGACCTAAACCATAGGTTCTTGAACAAGCATGTTCTTGTAGCCAGTCTAAGGAAGCTTCAAAGTTCTTCCTGCTCTCCTCGCAGAATCTAGGAAGAACAAAAGCCAAAATGTGTCCTTTCTTTCATCAGCCTCCACGTTTCTCACTCCCACACCCCTCCAAGTTGTCCTGTCTTACGTTTCCATGTTCTTCAAACACTGAAATGTCTCCTTCTTCCAGCTCTCTTCTCCATAATCCAGGTACCTGGGAGTGAACAAATGAAACTTTTCCTACTGCCAGAAATAATCACAGTGACTGACAGAATTGTCATGTGATAAGAGGAACTAACCACTGGTCACACAGGGCCACGACACATTCATCTGCAGACCTCGATATCACTTGTTTTTCTGGTTCCATGTAGATAAGTGCATCTCCCTAAATGAAGGTAAACAAAGGCATGGTAGGCGTCACATCCAATCAACCCTTAACTCTTCAGGGACAGAATCCTTCCCCTCCCCGGGTTCAACGGGGTCCGCTTTTCTGTGTAATGCCTGCTTCTGAAACACTTCATCATGTGGACCTCTTTAAAAGCTACTCATCATTTTAGCCCTTTCTAATCTTAGGGTGTGATAGGTGGGGTTCTTATGATTGCTTTCCATCTACGTTATAAAATGCAAAGAAAATTTAAAAAACCAAATGCATGGCACCAGTGTTTTTAAAATAAAAATATAGAGATTAAACATTAAAGTCTTTTAAGATTTAGAGTCATAAAAATGTCAGTTCCAAACAGAAAACTGACCACAATCTAATTTTGGTTTTTTGAGGTTTTTTCATTTAGCCCAGGCTAGCTTCAAACCTGCTATGTAGCAGAGGATAATTCTGAGCTTGTGATTCTCCTGCCTCTACCTCCCAAGTACTGAGCTAGGTATTTGGGGTCATCAGTATGTAAGCTTAAATCTTATTTTAACTAGATGTAAATATCTCTTAATACACCTTTAAGCTAGGATTTTTTTCCCCCCTTTTGGCTTTTCAAGACAGAGTTTTTGTAGCTCTGGCTGTCCTGGAACTCATTCTGTAGAGCAGGCTGGCCTCGAACTCAATGATATCCACCTGCCTCTGCCTCCCAAGTGCTGGGATTAAAGGTGTATGCCACCACCATCCAGCAAGCTAGGCTAATTTTCAAAACTAAAATCCAGTATTATCATTCACAAAATGACTCACTGCTCTGTACTTATAATGCAATTCTTTAATTTAAATTAAAAAGTTATACTTTAAGTTTATAAGCAGCAGGTTAGAAATAGACATTTAACTCCATCTAAAACTCCCAGTTCCAACTGACAAATATGGGGGGATGGACTCATTCAACAAAGATAAATAAAATGGGAAAAGAAAAGGCTACGTGAGTGATAACTGTTCCAATAGAGATAAAGCTAGTTGAAGCTGGGGGTGCAGCTCAGGAGAAGGATTTCAAGTATGTGCAAGGTCCTGGGCCCAAGCCCAAGTAAAAGGATTAAATAAAGGAAATTTTAAAAAAAGGTGAATCTTAACCAGCAGGAATGAGTGGTGTGGCATGATTCGAGCGGAAAGCAGTAACCCTGAAAAGAGGACAGAAGAATGTACGTTTTAAACCCTGCTTAGAAGCCCAGATACCTGATTCATGTGCTGATTAGTCTTCATTGTCAACCTGACACAAGCTATAGTCATCCAAAAGTGGGAGCCTCACCTGGGGAATGTTCTAGATCAGACTGCCTGCAGGCTGTCTGTGGGCATTTTTTTCTTAAATAGATGACTTATGTGTGGGAGGGCCAAGTCCACTGTGGGTAGCACCATCCCTAGCCAGGTGAACCTGTATTGTGTAAGAAAGCTAGCTGAGGGGTTAGAGACATAGCTAAGCGGTTAAGAGCACTGCTTGCTCTTCCCAAGATCCTGAGTTCAATTCCCAGTAACCACATGGTAGCTCACAACCATCTGTAATGAGATCTGGTATCCTCTTGTAACCTATAGGCATACATGTAGACAGAACACTGTATGCATAATAAAAAAAAAAAAAAAAAAAAAAAAAAAAAAAAAAAAAAAGCTAGCTGAGTGAGCATGAGCCAGTGAGCAGCCTTCCTCCATGGTTCCTACCTCTCTTTTCCTGCCCTGACTTTCTCAATGATGAACTATTACTTAGAAGTGCAAGCTGAAATAAGCCCTTTCCTGCCCAAGTTGCTTTGGGTCCTAGTGTTTATCACAGCCACAGAAAGCAAACTAGAACACTCACCATGCAGACAGTAACTGCCCCCATCTCTGTGCCAGCAAAGGCTTATCCTCTGGGGCAAATCTCTAAAGGATTGAGCAAAGTTCAGAGCACAGACACCACAGCAAAATCAGCAGATTACTTAAAAGCCAGCACACTAGCTGCTGGTGCCATCTCAACCAATCTCCCACTCAACTTCCAGAATGCTCAGTCCAGAATTTCTACCCAGGAAGTCAAATCTAAATATGGAAATACATACATACATACATCATCTAGATTCGTGTTCACCAGAAAGCTACTACAGACACAACTTCATCAAAATGAGCAGGAAAAACAGGAGACAAGCCATGGAATTAAAGCAAGGAGACCAGATTCCAGAGTGACAGAAGAAATCTATAATGACCAAGGGACATCAGCTCCAATAGTGACAACAACCCATCCAGACCACACAGCCCACAGGCTCTGGGAAAGCACTCTAAGATGTAACCATCAACACACTGAAACAATGGACAAGCTGGGAGAAATACATAGCTGTAAGTTTGGGGATAAGTTAAGTACATGGGCAGATATTAATTGTAGGAAAAAATTAAAACTGGAGAGTAAAATACTATATACCACAGTCAGATTAGCCATGTCTCAAAAATATAAACATTGACTAATCTAGTATACATTATAAATACATTCTTGGGAGCTGGGGAGATGGCTCAGAAGTTAAGAGCACGGGCTGCTCTTCCAGAAGTCCTGAGTTCAATTCCCAGAAAACACATGGTGGCTCACAACCATCTGTAATGAGATCTGGTGCCCTCTTCTAGCATGCAGGCATATATGCAGACAGAACATTGTATACATAATAATTATTAAAAAAAAAGTCTTTACAAACCCCAAACACACTTTTTAATAATAAATAAATTAATAGATACATTTTTTTGGGGGGGGGTTTCGAGGCAGCGTTTGTCTGTGTAGCTTTGGAGCCTGTCCTGGCACTCGCTCTGTAGACCAGGCTGGCCTGGACCTCACAGAGATCCACCTGTCTCTGCCTCCCAAGTACTGGGATTAAAGGTGTGCAACACTGCCCGGCATAAATACATTTTTAATATGAAAGAAAGATGAAAAGGCATATACAAGACACAAAAGAAGGTACTAAAAAATTAAAATCTTGGGTTTTTTTTTTTTTTTTTTTTTTTGTAG